GTTTTTAACAAGTTAATCGTCAGTCCCTCTCCCAAATCTGAAGCTACCGCTCACTCCAAATTTTCTGCAACACAAAGGTTGCACCTCAGCAAAGCTCCCTCTGTTCTCCCAGGTTTTCCCTCCTTCAAGGAAAGGATGTGATTGGTGATGTCTTTTTTTTTTTTTCCCTTCCCTAAACCAGTCACTCTCAAAAAAGCAGCTTGTAAATGGTTCTCAGCCAAAACACAGAGACCCTTCTCCTACCCCGGGGCTGGCAAGAGCTGTCGAGCCAGGAGCAGCCTCCGCCGCTGCTGGAAACGCTTCGGTTACAGATTAATCCTTCACCTGCTTCACCCACGGTTCCCTCCACGCTGAAACAGGAACCACCAACAACCACCACCAAAGCGACCAAAAACTCCGGCAGCTCAGTGAACAGAGGGAGTTTCACATCCTCACCCAGCAGGCGATCCCATCGTGCCCCTCCTGGGGCAGTTGTCCTTTCTGCCCCCCCAGGGAAGAGCCACCCTGAGCCACACACAGCCGAACGGGCGGCACTGGCTAAACCTCAATCTGACCAAGTCCATAGGCAACAGCTGCATTATCTGAATGTGAATTTGTCATTTCGATTGCACCAGGGCTCGAGCAAACCTCTTACCAAGTGTGAAGCACAGCAAAACCCTACAAGTAACCGGAGGGAGTTCCCTCTCTCTCAGACCTGGCACCTCACTCGCTCACGTGTCACAAAAAAATTGCAACTCAAGTCTGAAAGGAATACCGAATGTTAAGAAAAATGAGTATTTTTAACTTTCCTGGCTTAGTAAATTCAGGAAGTATTTAATAGATAATAGGTCTTTACAAATTAATTGTCTTCCCTTATAAATGGACTGTAGGGAATGGTGTTAATGGGGCTTTTGAGCTGAACAGCATTTAAGGCCAGGCTTAAGTCTAGTCTTACCAAATGTCAGTGTGAAGAAGTCAACACACCCAACAAGAAATAGGACAATGTCAAAGCCAGAAACCCAGTTAGAGTAACAAAGTCATCAAATTCACTCTTCACTTCCACCTCTAGAAAAGTGTATTTTACGTACAGCAACGTAATGGAAAGCAAATACAAAAGAGGCCCCTTATTCCACCTACTACACCAGACATTCGCTTGGAAAATCAGCATCCGTGGGAAAGGGAGGATGTGCCCAAGAGCTCGTCAGGCTGCTCCACTTAATAACCAAAATCTGAAGTCCAGCAGCTTTACTACCCGCTTGACTATCCCCGAGGGGAAAAGCCAAGACTTTCCCCTCTTTCTGGGATCTAACGCTCATGGAGCCTCCTCCCCACAGCGCTCCCACACAGGCTGGGAACCAGAGGTGCCAGGTGGTTTGTCAAGACTCTTTAGCTTCCGCGGTCAGACAGAAAGAGGAGAGAACGAAAAGATATTCTGTCTAGACTGAGCCAAAACTCCAGCGCAGCTGTGCAAGGTTAACTTCGACCAGTACGAAACACGCGGCCACACGTGCTCGGGGGGCCAGAGTACACAACGGAGTGAAAATTATTAACAAAAATAAAACCGGGGAACTGAGCCAGGCAGCATCAATCCCGCTCGATCTGAGATACGTTGCTTAGAATGTTCTGCAGACTGTTATTTTCCCAGCATTTTCTGTATGTGAACTTAAGTATATCTAAATACTTCAATTATGTATTTAATATACACATGTACAGCTGTATATATCAAACCACTGCTAACTCTTTGAATCCTCCAATTTATTCTCCTCCAAACCCCACCAACATTAGTCTCCTGTTAAGTTTTAGCTTTCTTCTTTTACCTTTTAAAATTCAATTTTATTCAGAACACTTTCCAGAACCTACGATTACTCAGTTAAAGATATCAGGAAATAAAATCTGTTTGTTATTACCTATATTCCCAAGAAGTCCATTCATAATTGTACTGTGGTCAGGCTTCAGTGTATTGCTGTCTTGATTAATGAACTCGAGACTGTCTTGCAACCTACAGCAAACATAAAACATAGAACAAAGCCAGTGATTTGCATTTCAGTAGAGCCCAGTGTTACTCCATCACAGCCCAAACGGAACGGACAAGAGAAGAACACAGGCTTCCACTAGAAAAAGCTTTCATAGACTAAGCCACATTCTCAGGTGGATGAATTAACACACAGAGAACTAAACACCGAGCCCTCTGAAGCCAAACTGCTTTGTAACACCTTTTTCTTCTACTTTTCCCCAATGCCAGGGTTTTGTCCTCATCCCTCCTCCTGTGGTAGGCGCAGGTACTTTTGTACCTTACGCTCTGAAGCTTCACCACACCACCAGGTTCATTCATTTGCTTAAAGCAAACTGAAGGGAAGAAAACCTCAAGAAAAGGTGAGCACACTAGTGACAGGGTGTAAAAGATCGTGGAGCATGAAGTTATTTCTTTTTAGAGAAGCTGAAAGGTTCAAAAAAGCGTCTTCTGTGTTCTTACATTCATCTGCTTACGTGCAACGGATAAAATTTGCAATGGACTCACGTATTCAGGCTTCCGTAGATGCTGCTTCCAGTGCGAGCTGTGAAAACCTTGCTGAGCATGAGCTGAGGAGGTGAGCTAGAGGACAAAAAAGAAGATGTCAGTCAGAAACAGTGCCAAGGCAGGCTCTGTCTCCATTTCACAACCCTCCAGATTTTACAGACCTAATCAGGACAAAACAGCCTGTTGTGTCACAAAAGCAAACCCAGAAATTCCTTTCACCCTGCACTTGTGGCATTCAATTCATTACATATTAGCACTAAGGATTAAGTCTTCTGAGAAGACCTGCAGTAAGAAAACATAAAATTATTCTTACCGGATCTGGTGAATTTTCAATGTGGAGCCCTTGTAGCTCATGGCCACAGAGCCAAACATCATCTCTCCAAGCATGTTAGCATCTGAAGAGCACCGAGAACCCTGAAAGAAATAATCATCAAAATTTTGTTTTTGGCATTTCAGAAGTACACTTCTATTAGGGCAACATATGACTAAGGAAAATAGTCTTTATTTAAAAGACAAACATGCAAAATACCTTACTAAAACGCTGTTGAACACGCCAAGCTGAACAGTTCTAGCTAGCACAGAAAGTGATCTTCGTATCGGCTGTGAGCAAAAACACTAAAATCATCCAGCAGAGCTAAACCCCTACTACCAGGGCCGAGGGGAAGCAGGTTCAAACCACGCTGAGTCAGGGCACTAAAAAGTTTTACGAGTGTGATAACACGCTTCAGTAAATAAGAACCATTAAACCTACATTCTGTGTCTGCCTAGCGAGAAGCATCACAAACGGGCTGGAGATCTTACAGAGGCTGTGCACTGGAGCCAAGCTGGACCAGCGATTTCTCGACAAAGACTGATTCATAACTGATCCAAGGATGGATCCAGCTTTCCCTGGTGCTCCCATTACGGTACCAGCAAAGAGCTGCAGCATCACCATGCCAGGCTTAAGTTGTGCTTAAGATCTGTGTTTCTCGGCTGACGAGAGCTCGCCGTAAGGCACGCCGTGCCGGCTAAATACCTTGGAAGAATATCACTATGCTGCAGCCCAGGCTAGATCAAATGCTGCAGATAAAAACCTAAAATTAAGAAGTTACTCAGGGCAATCAACTGCAGACAGCTGCTCAGCTGACAGTCAGCGTATCTGTATGCTTGCAGCGGCTGGGATGACTGTCCCTGTACCCAGGGCTGTTTCATCTCTGGGCTCGCAGAGGGTTAGTGCTGGCTCTCCATTTGCGCCTTGCCCTGAATAATTTAAAATACCCTGATCAGTCACTCTCAGAGCTCAGGCAGCTCCCAGGTCAGTGACTCTGGTACTGCGCAAGAGAGAAATACGTTTGCTTTGAGGTGCACGACAACTAACGGCCCTTCCTTGGAGCAATCCTTCCAAAAGGTCGCTAAAACCTTTGTGTCTGGAAAACGCCAAGTGCCGCACCTCCACATCCCTCATCCGAGCTGCCAGCAACCAGGATCCACAGCCAGATTCCTACCCAGCCTTGGAAGATATCCCAGTCTTTCTGCCCGGCGTGGGGCAGCGAGCCCAGAGCACGACAAAGGACAAGGTGTCCACGCCACGGGGTCCCACCGGCATGAAGGAGCGATACGGAAACAACCGCTCGAGGTTTCTGCTCCTCACGCCAGAACAAGGGCAGGGACAAGGAAATGCTAATCAGCCAAAAGGCAACACACTTACAACACTTCTCAATTTTTAGCTCTTCTCAAGCACTCTCAATTAAGACGATGGCACTTTAACAGACATACTATTAACCTCTGGAATCTGCTCTCAGTGCAGAGAAAGATAGGGGATGGCTAAAAGTAGCACCTGCAGTGACAAGGATGAGGATACAACGGCAGGGTTTGGCAGTGGTCACAGCAAAGGGCAAAATCTGATCTTGGCTGGGTCCCAGAGAAACCTCCCTCTTGACCTCCCAGGACGTCAACACCGCCCAGATGCACCGTCGGCAGTACTGGAAAAACCAGACTTTGAGAATCAGTCGGTGTGACCCAGCAGCTCCAAGGGAACACAAGCAGAGATGTTAATGGCTCTAGAAAATGATAGGTCTGCCGGCATCATGAAATCTTCAAGCAGGAACACTGCAAATTACTACAGTTGAATGTTAGGATTGTTATTTTTAAATCTGCTGCAGATCTCCAGCTGAAGGGCTCGCTCTGAATAAATGTCAAGCCCTTGATGGCTGGTTTTGGTTTCAACTTGTTGCTGTTGTGAAAATCTAATTCTAAAGCTGAGGGGAAAAATACTTTGTCTTAAGATAAAGTATTGATTTTCTTTGTCAAGCAGCTGAATAAAAAAAGAAAAAGAAAGTGAAAATCAGCTGCTTTGAAATTTAATTACAGGGGTTTCCCTTTCCTCTGAAAGACAGAGACAAGCAGTGCCGAAGGCAAAGACCGTGCTAAGATGCACCCACGGCCTGCTTCGGTCTGGCATTTCATTTACACCACTTAATAACGATAATTTTACCATGCATACCAGAAGATGCACATATTTAATGCCTTTAATATGGAAGCACTGTTACAGCTCGACTCTTTGGGCCTTTAATGCCGCAAAATAAAGGTCACTCAAGACCAAAGTAGAGTGCAATCAACTGAGGAAAGGGGTTAAATATTAGAAAACTCAAACTAAAAGTAGCCAAAGAGCATCTGGCAAAAAAGGGTAGAACCTCCGGCACTGACAGCTTGGCCACAAACCAATTCCCTAGGTCATATTTACAAGCTCACATAAAAACTGATCATAAAATACCCACAGGTGTTTGTTATTGCGCATTAACATATCGGAGGTAGTAAAATTTGCATGACTTGGAAATGACATTTCTGCATATATTTACAGCATTTAATATTCCCCTTACTGCGCATATTGCCCTCCCAAAAACTAAGCACGTATGTAAATGAAAAAAGGCAGCACGGAAATAAATGTCAAATGTCATGACTGACAGATCAGAAAGACTTTCGGTCCCGACTACGCCAACCAGCAGGTAGAGAGTGTCACAACACGCAAATACTTGTGGGCAAGCTCAGAACCACATTGAGCTTTATCTTAATGGACTCCGGTCCCATTTGGGATGGAGCTGGCTAGGATGGGATTGAAAATACAGAAGTCTGGAACAAAACCCTGCGTTTCAGCCCGCAATTAAAAGTTGCTCATGTAGAGTCAGAGTGTATTTCAAAAAGAACTATTTTTAAAGTCCTATGGCGCTGCGTTACTTGGAATTCAATTTTACAGCTTTAAACCAAAACAAAATAAAAGAACTTATAAATTGCAAGTACATCAAGTAACTGGGGAGGTTACCAGGCGCAGCAGCGCGAAGAAGGGAAGCACCAGGCTCACCGATACCTGGACAAACTTACTCCGGCCCTTCCGCACACACGACACAAAATTTTATGGCGCAGTAAAGAACTCGTTTTGTATTTACGGCTCTCTGCTCGTTTGCTGGGGAAGCCGGGGAGGAGTATGGAGAATGCAACCCATAGTTGACAACAAACACTCTGCTGAAGACCAACTTAAGCTGGGAAGTTCTCACACCCTTTCAGAGCTGGTCATGCAGCCAGAAATCATTTGAGCTCAACTCAGCGAGAATTTGACTAAGTGTCACACGTGGAGACTTAAATGGGAAAAGAAATGGAGACTTAAATGGGAAAACTTTCCGCAGCTTTAAAACACATTGTCATGCCAACACTAAAATTAATTTCCTTTAATAACATGGACCATTGTTTGCACAGAGTCGGCCCAGTAGGAGAGACAATTTCTAGATGGTGGGGGGGCATCATTTTTCTTGGTCGCACAATGCCCGAAGGAGGTTATTTTGTGCAGGAGGGAAGCTGCTGACAGCAACGTCTCTTCCTTTCAGAACCGCGGCTGAACGCCCTTCCAGGAAGGGAGGGATGGAAAACAGATCTTCAGCCACCTTACTAAAGCTGTGGAAAAGAGTGTGAGGAGAAAGAGAAAACAAGAATACGCAGCTCGCCAAATCCAGCGCGAGCCAGCGGGACAGTGGGAAAGTCAGCACTGAAAGGTTCTTCATTTCTATCTACGGGAGATTAAGACATCAGTAGTACTGTACTTCAGAATGGGTTGTGGAGATGGCAGCCTCCCTCAAACACACAATTACTTCATTACAAAGAGTGGAAGGGCTTAGTTCTATTTTAGGGTGGCTTAATATAAAACACTTGTGATCCATGGAAGGAGAGATGACAGAAATATATCCGTGTCAGATGACTCCAGCTACTCTCGTGGCCAAAATCTCTTACGTAAAATGTAACTCAAGTGCACTGAATCCCTTGTTATAAAGCTGTTACACAGACTGTCCCTGCAGATAGCGTGTTATTTCCCTGGCATTTAGCAACAAAGTAGAATAAACTACCTCATCCACATCAGGATAATGTATTTGTGCCAAGTCTGACTGTACTGAGCGAGTGTTACCCCCTGGGTCACAGGACAGAACAAACGCACTGGAGAAATCGCTGCCGTTCAAGACACATCCCGAGAGAACCAGCTGGTTGGTTTTAGACTTGTGCAAAGCCAAAGCTACAGAATTAAGCATTACTGAGTCAGAACCAAAGTCTGATTGTAACTGAAAACTGCTCTCCAGCACCAGTCTCTAACATTCAGTACCTCACCAGTCGTTAGTACTTGATAGGAGCTATGAAAAAAAAAAAAAAAAGGAAAAAAAATAAAAAAAGGAAAGGTTACTCACCTGGTATTTTGGGCATTGTTCTTTTGCATCCGAGAACGATGAGGATGAATTGATGGAACTATCCAAGGAAGAAGAGCTGTCTCCTCCGGGCTTCAGTTGGCAACATTTCCCAAAAACCCTCACCTGAGCATCGCTGCAGAGTTTCTGAAATACAGACAACATATGGGACACACTAAGACCCACGACCTGAAATCCCTGTTTAGCACCACTGCACTTACCTCTTCAGGCAAGATATTGAACAGCTGAAAGGCTTATGCCCGGGGAAAACAATTAACCGAATATTTATTAGTGTCTCTTGTAGCCTGGCTGTGCAAAAGAGAGAAGAGCTGGTTTACTTCCAATCAGCCAGGAGCTAACAGGTCACTCCAGCTCCACTTTCCTAAGTAACCATCTGCCTCCGAAGCTTTACACGGGATTTTTTTTAGACCCAGGACCAGGAGAGAGGATGGTACCAGAGTGTTTAAAGGAAGGATGGGAACAGCAGGCTCCAGCTGTCTCCATCCTGCTGCCTGGCAACAATCGAGGAAGAGCACTGCAGAATTCAAGCAAGATTCACATTCCCAGGGTAAGGGGAGAGAAGAGGTAGTATTTTTACAGATCTCTCCCTAGCCGTGGTTATGTCCCCACGTCTTTTTCAAGACAGGCACAGAGGTGATGCGTTCCTCTCACGTGAGGCTGAAAGCGGACAAAGCTGAAAACCACAGCCGGTGTTAAAGAGAAGCTGGCAAAGTTTCACAAAACGATGCAGAAATGGCCCAAGGGGTGATTTCTCATAGATGTTCAGACGGGAAGCGCAGCAAAAAAAGGGAATTAGGAGGGCTCAGATGAATCTGGAAGTGACATACAAGGTGGGCAGGATCTGTGTCCACTCGACACAAACAGAATTATCCATCAGTGGCACAGGAGATGCTCCATTACTGATCCATTCACTATTTAAAAACACTGGTGATTTCCCCTGGGAATCTCAGCATCCCAAAGAGAATCAGCACGCGCGCCGGTTTGTGCTGTTCACACCAGCATCAGGCCCCCCTCCCCACCTGAAGATCTCGACATGTTTGTCACCTGCTCGTCACACTCTCCACACCCACGTAAGGTTGGCATTATTTACGTTGGCTAGTGGGCAGCACCAGGAGACAGAAATAGTCTCAGAATTACATTCCAACTCTGCCCTCAGAGTTTCTTAATTAACATTTCCTATGCGATCACCAAAGCGGTAAGAGCAAGCTGGAAGCAAGGTTCAGGGGACAGAGGGAAATAAGGAAGGGCTGGGAAATGTCCCGCCTTCAGCTCTGGGCTCACAGGTTCTGCATCATTCAAAAACATAGGTAGGTCTCAATCTTTAATAGCTATGAAAAAAAAAAAAAAGGCATAAAGAAAAGCGTGAAATACCAAGGCACAGGGAGTGTACTCAATAATCAGCGACAACTCTACAAAAAGACAACAGGTTAGGGCTTTTTTTTTTTTTTTTGCTAAATCCCACCCACGGTTAAGGACAGGTGACTTTTATTTGGCGTTAACCGTGGGTGAGATTTAGCAAAACAGCAGAAAACGGCTGAGATTATCGAGCTCCACGCGGCAGCCCGGGCTGCTGCTCCCATTAGCGAGCTGCCGCCGCAGAAAGCCTTCGGGAAAAATGTGCAGACAAATCAGTAATTCGGCGGAGGGGAAGGAAGCATCCCCTGGCTGCCGAGCCCGGTGCTTTACTGACACATCCAGCCCCTCATCGTAGGATCCTCCCGTTGCGACACCGCGGCGAGGATGCTGAATTCACGCAATACGTCGATTTGCTAATGGCGAGCGAGTATCTGTGGTCTGAGCACAGTGCACAATGGCTGGAACATGTGAATGATCATCATATGACTTCAGTAGGAACTCGTGAACCAGAATTGCATTTTATCTCTGACACAAACAACAATGTCCCGGGCTAGGCAAGCATCATGTGATAAAACCACATAAAATCCACGGGGTTACAGAAGCTTTTGCAGGCAAACCGCATTTCAGCTTGCATTTTCCATCAGATGTTGAAAGTTCCTTCTAAAGAGTTACAATTATAACCAAGTTTCCTTGAGACTCTAAAGCCAGCAAATGCATTTCTACAGGCAAAAAAAATTTCCGCGCATGAAAAAAAAACAGGCTAAGTTTGCAAATCGCTTACTTTTCAGTATTTTTTTTCTCATTATCACTGCATTCTTCTGCACAGCAGCTTTCCCCAGATCCACTGGGCAGTCTGGTGTCTTGAAGTAATAGTTGCCCAATTTAAATAGCAAACCAGGAAAATGACTGCTTGGTCTCTGCAGTGGAGTTTAATGAACCAAAACTCCTGCCAGGAGTCTGTAAAGGAGGTCAGGATCTTTCAGATATCACTTTTTAGAACCTTGTGAGCAGTAAATCCCTCCTAAAATGCAGATCCCTGGCAAATCCTGGCGTTTGCTCTTGTACAAACTTAGTGTGCCCTTAAGAAGAACCTGCTGGACAATGAGATCGAGCACCTGCAATGCCCCTCTCCTCTGCTGTTTCTGACTCCAAATGTCAACAAAATTTTAGATGCTACAAATCTCGAGATATTACGCATCAAAGCAGCGGAATTACTTGCATTCCAATATAATATCCCAAAGATATTCAAGCCAGGTTTCCAAAAATAAAGCGTTAACCTACGCATTTGAGAACTGTACAAGGGAAAGTTTCAAGTCGTGGATTTTCTTTCCAAACAGACCTAGAGCTGCAAGAAACCGGATCCCCGGGCAAAGTGCTGCTGGAGTCCTCCGAAATGCTCCCTTTTGCTGGAGAGCAGAACGGCTGCTGGGAGGGTGGCGCCGAGGCCCCCTGCCGCTCCTGGCTGCCGTGCCGCTCTCCCTGCTGGGGTCACACTCTTTGTTCCTCCTCTGCCAGCTCGCTGCAGATACCACCCAGCTCCAGAGACCTCCTGGCAGCCACCGCTCTTACGTTAGAGGTCATCGTTTGCTGAAAAGTCTTGGAGACCTGTCAGGTAGTACTAAGGACAACTTAGGAGCAAAATGTCTTTGTAGTATGACAGGGTACAAAGTGGTTTTCTTCCACAATTCTGCTTCTGGAATCTCTTTTCTCCACACCTTTATCAGCAAAGACCTTTTAACTCTTTGCCACTAGGTCTATAAATTCCTCAGAAAGTGGAAGGAACATGGCCGGTGCTGTGCACAGAAAGAGGAATTTCTGCCAGGCAACTTTTGGTTCGGGGATAAGAAGAAAGTTGAAAGGAGCCTGGAGTGTTGTACTAAATCGACCACAGGCGTTTTAGGGCTGTGAGTGACAGAAGAAAAGAGAAATGTCATCATAGGCTTTATTCTTTTCTACCTCTGCAATAGCAGGTGCTCAGATACCACTGAGGTAGCAGTGACAGAGAAATCTGTATTTCCAAGCAGAGTTGCCACTCTTCTAGAGCACTGTACCTCGTTTCTAGAACACTTTTCTTCAGCAAAGCTGAAAAATTATTCCAAAATACATAAATTAACTCTTTTGCTTTATTAATATCCGTTGGTCTGACTGCGTCATTAAATATGCATCCACCCAGGGCCCTAGAGGGACCTGAGTACACATTCCTTCCTCCCCTTTGAGTGCTGCTGTAAAAATCCAGGTGTCTTTCTTAAAATGCAGCTGTCAAGAGCTACATTCTCCCTTTTATTCCCAGAGTTCAGGTTCCTCTATTACTCAGAGGTCAGTAAAAGAGGGAAAGACAACTCCAGCCTCCCACCACCCCACCAGCATTCTTCCGTTTCTGTTCAGAGAGAAGAAGAAGAAGGTGGGAGTCGGTCTCTGTGCTCACAGCTTCCTCTGGAAACCTGTCCACCCAGCGCCAGGGAGAGAGCAGAGTCTCCATTTCACGCGACTCACCTAAAAGCAAAAGGCTCGCTATCCAATTACTAATCCCTCAAAGCAATTTGCTGTTCAACATTTATCCAGCGCTGAAGTATATTAGAACACGTGGCTAATCCTGGCTTGTTTAAAGCAGCATGCCATTTCTCTACTTTGGGCTAAATATGACATTCGGAGCGAAAGAAATTGCTGCGGTAGGAGATCAAATATCAGATGACCTTTCAGTTAAATTATCCCCAAGACAACTAGGTTACATTGCAAAAGTGAACTTCTCGCTCCCCAAATCCAAGCCCACTGTTGCACATCTAGATCTCCAACTCTGCACTTCTAGATCTCTAATTCTGCACCCGGTCACGATCTCTCTCGTTTCTTAAAAAACTCCATGTAAACAAACAAACAAAAAACCCCAAATACCCAGCAAAATATAAAATACCAACCAACCAAATCCTGCTTCTGAAAAATTTCTTCTGCCTCTGGGCCCTGGGAACAAGCCACTGCCTTTCTGTAATGCTTTGGCTCTTCCCCCTTCCCAGCCAAACCACCCAAACTCCAGATCTCTGCTCAGCACAGTGCGCAGCTTGGCTCTTGCTTTCTTCATTCCCTCCCTCCTCTTCCTCACAGTCCTCTGACACTCCCTTCTTTCTCCCTGGACTCCAGGCCTTCCTCTAGGCTGATCTTTAGGCTTCGGAAACCTTTTAGCTCCCTATATGCCCATCAGCACCTCTTTTCAGCCAGATCCCAAGCACCAACCACCGTCTTGCTGTAAGTCCCCCTGGAAGTCCCCCGCAGGCAACACAAAAAGGAAAATGAGCAGTTAAACGAGACCGTTAACCCCAAACTCAGTCCCTGAGGAGAGCCCTGAGGCGAGGTTCTCCTTCCCAGCTTCTCCTTCGCTTTCCTCCCCGCTTCTCCCTTGTGGCACCATCTCTGGGGCACCTTCCTCCCACCCGATGGCCGGCGCCCAGAGGACAACCCCTCCAGCCGGCGTTTGTGCGCTCACGTTTACGGCGATGTTAACTCGCGCAGTAAAACCCAGCACAGCCCTGGTGTGAGGTTATCGTGAACACAGGGTCAAGGTTGAGAAGCCAAGCACGCCGGGGTGAGGAGAGGCAGAGCCGAGGCCAAAAGCTCAGCGCCAGGCTGGCCACCGGCCTCTGCACCTTCAAAAGGAAAACGGAGCCATCAGGCTGGATTTGAAATTCAAATAGGAGCCGGTATCGCAGCTCCGGGAGGTGTGTGCCTGTGTCCAGCACACCGGGAGGTGATGTGTGCTGGGGGGGACGTGAGAGAGGAGGTGTTAGAGGAAAAGGAGCAGACAAGCACAGAGATGAGTCGACCGGTAGAAATCAGTCATAAGTCGTAACATCATCATCTGCAAATCAAGTAATAAAGTCTCACTAGAAACGAGACACTTGGTAGTACGAGGAGCAAACTCTCTAGAGGAAACAGTGAGTTGACCCCACAAGTTTCACAGAATCACAGAATCACAGAATGTTCGGGGTTGGAAGGGACCTCTGAAGATCATCCAGTCCAACCTTCATCCCAGCACACCCAACCACTACACCACAGCCTCAAGTGCCAGAT